CGGAAAGAATGGAGAATGTGGCCTTAGCAATTGTGAAATGCAAATATATGCAAATCACATCACCCTGAGTCACTGATCATCAAGCAATAAAACAAGGATCCTGCTAGCAATACCTCATGATTGACCCAGGACGTCGAACTGAAGCGTGTAAAATGTTCATTCATCCTTGCCTATAGGACTCACATCATCTGGCAAATCATTGCTGAAAGCCCGGCTCATCTGGCGGACGCCAATAGAACTTTTTGTGCTCCGCGTCAATCTACAGGATGTCGCGGCAAACCATTACAAACATTCCAAGGAACACAAACCCAACAAGTAATACCAGCTCCAGCGCTGAAAATCTTCCATGGCCTCCGAAACAGCTATTTGACATTATGTTCGGGTGAGAAGCCAACAACGCAATAATGGGACAAACGGACAAACGTGTCAGCATCGTAAGTATGAGCTGTCCGTCCCGTTGTTAAAGCTTCCTAAACACAAACAGCACCCATCAACTTCTCTTTACAAATGGCTTTCACTTCTCTGTTTGCCCCACATCAGCCCACCTTGGGATCCCAGTGTGGCAGTACCTCCAGCTTCGCAAATACATCTCATCAAGCCAGAGCTTCCTACTGTGTGGCCAAACGGATAACCTTGCTGACCTTGCTGTGATCCTCTGGAGATCCCTAATTGCAAACTGATTCTTCGGGTCATTCAATCATTCCCTATAAGCCTTGTGCGTTCGTGCTTCATATTTCTCATGCTTCTTCTACTGAAAACCCCAGCATGCGAGCAGCCTTGTGGTCCCAATGCATCCAGCGTCCATCGGTCTGGCACCGCGTTGTTCAATCTTCCAAGTGACCAACCAACGAACTGTGGCTGACGGCTGACCCGCCAGCCCAACTATCTGCATCAGACTTTGAGGAAGCAATTCTCAAGTGGGATCATCATTCAAGCATTTTCTGTAAGTGGCAGAGGATATCCAGTAATGTTACCTTCATGTTCCACTGTGTAGTTATTGGCATAGACGCACAGGATCACAAGGGAGGAACATGACGCGCAAACGTGGCTGTTTTGTCTTCTCTCAAGGAATTTGAAGGTCGGCCTCTGGATTGCCATACCTGGCACAGGCAAAACGCTATCAAGTCAGTGGGTACAACAACTGCCACCTTGACTTGCAGTGTGACCCAATGGAAATCCTCCAGAAGCTAACCCCTGCCTTCGAGCCTCACCGCGAAAAACGACTGGAAGTTAAAGGGGGTGCAATTTGGTATTCAATACACGGCCGGAGCTGCCAAAGGTAGAATGCTGCATGAACTGCAGGTGCAGTGCCATCTTCCCTGAGCGATTGGCGGTCACAACAAAGTCCATCAGAGCTCTCATCACCTACTTCATGGCAGCAATTTGATCCTCAAACCATGAGAAGTTCCATGAGGGCTTTCCAAGGGTTTTCCACTCATATAGCTCTTTGGTACTGTCAAGCCTTTGCAACAAGAATGGATATCTGGCCAGCTTGGTCACATTAGATGAAGCGCTCAACAGTTTTGATGTTGATGTGTCTCAGGCAATCAAGCCTCGTGCAGCTGACAATTTCCTCTTGAGCGTCCGGAGTCTCATCCACAGGATCAGGCTCTGGTCCATCGCCGCCTTCCTACAACAAGACATCCCCAACATTCAGAGATCATGTGATTTCATGTGTATCATGTTGCCTAACATTGCCCAACAGGAGATCTCTGTGGCATCTGTGGGCTCAACCGGACTGGGAAACTATTATGCGGGCTGCGCCAACGGACCAGTGAAGCGGATTGGACAGCTGCTAAATCCATTCGTAACCTCCACAACTCCACCAAGTGCTCACCAACTCTTTGGGAGGTTGGATGCTTTGGAAAAAAGACGGTTGCTTTCCATCTATGGCCATCTTCCCCTTTGATGGCAGAAGCTCGTGAAAGTCTCCATGCGTTGCAGGAATCTTCACACTCCCAACTTCACCTCGATCTCGCTGATCGACTCGTCATACCTCGGTGTTCAGTATGTACCGGTCCCAAAATCTAAATCACCTGAAGCAACTTGGGCCTAGTGGTAAACCATTGAATATACATGAATCTTCTTGCCTGCCTCCCTCAACCTCTCCACCCACATGTCGACCAGTTTTTGCAAGAACCATCAGACACACCTGTTTTCTCCTGGCCGCACCTTGAGTGTGTTTCCCACTCTGTCTGTGGGAATAGAAACCGCAGGATCCACCCAAGGGCAGCCAAGCAAAGTACACTAGTTTAAAGCACTGATGAGCTGCTGAGTCACACATATCACACATGTCACACATGTTTTCAGCATAGCACTGTCAGACTGTCGCTGGAAATTCACGGCTGCCAGGCGAGACCAGTGGTGACACCAAGAGCTTCTCAAGATGTACTGTAAGTGCTTCAAACATACACATCTTCAAGTTCTTCAAGTAACCATCTTCGTCGAATGAATACTACAAATACACAAGTATCAATCCACCATTATCCAACCGATCCTGGTCTGCACTACACCCCTCGCAAAAAATACATCAGTTGGTGACAAAATCTTTAGTAATAAATCAGAGACCGTGCTATTATTTTCTCGGCTTTGTGATCTGATTGTCCTTTCACTTGCCTCAAGATCTACAAAAAATAAGCTGTTTTGCCCCATGGCAACTACTACAACAGAATCAACATGCAGAGAAGCCCTGCTTGACTCAAACTCGGCAAGCGGGATCGCGAAAATCATGATGCCACGCTAGACCAGCCCTCTTTTGGCCTCACATTTGATATGAAGCAGGGAGCCCTGTGACAGTGTCATCCAATCGAGAAAGCTTTATAGTGCTGTTATACTCGAACATCGGCCCCAATTGACCAGTTGTGCCATTATTGGGCATGCTTCGAACAATCTCAAGACCAGCAAGTGGGACCTGAGGAGGATCGGCCCAGAAGCGATACAACTTGTGGTCGCTGTGCGTGCGGCATGAGCAGGGATCCACGTGGCAGGGTCTCAAAGCTCCACTTTCTGCGCTGTTTCGCATCTCTTCTGCGAGTGCAAGAAACTCTTGGATGCAGTGCTTCCGCGTGTGAAATGCCTAAGGGTGCGACATTACAAAATGAGCCCAGGAACAATCTATCATCATGAGACACATCTTGCGGGCCCACAAAAGGTGGTCCATGGTCCAAATAAAAGGTCCTAATGATTCCTAATGGCCTTTGGGTTCATGCATTATGTTCTATTTCTCTGTAAGTATGTCATCCAACTGGTGAGGAGAGCTATTTGCGCACCCATTAAGCGATCGTAGGCGCTCTAAGCAGTCCGAGGTTGGAGGTTGAGAAGGGAATGCATGTTGCTTCCCTGATGTGCTTTGAGACGCCATATGTACGATATGTAATCATTCACATAATTAACAGCAGCTCAGGTAGCCCGTTGACCGCTGGAACCAGAGCATGTGCTCTTCCGCTTCAGGTTCCGCTTGTCACCAAAGTCTCTACCTGGGAGCATTTGAACATCTCAGCATGCGTTCCGACCAACAGTGAGTCGCAGCAGTTGTCCTTACAGGGCTTGTACCAAGAGCTTGTTTCACAACACAGCGGGGTGCAGCAAAAGCCAAGAGAACGTGTGTACTTCAACATTGAACTTTGCAGGGTCATGCACTGGTACGAGCAGTTTTTGGTTTGGTGGTAACCATGATTTCATATTACCCACCAAGCATCTAGTCACCTGGTCCCTGGAGGAGTCTCACCGAATGGCGATAGCCACTTGCGGATAAAACCGTCTCTCCCCAAGTAAGGGGAACAGTTGATTTGCATATATAACTAGACTTACTCCAGCCCAATAGCAATGGCCTCCAACCTAATAGCGATGGCCTCCAGCATAACATTAAACGGTTCCAGTGCCAGTTTTCAAGTTTCAAGGAGATGCTCCTGTGAGGTGACTGATGACTGTGATACCTACCGATTATTGCTTGTTTCGAGGCACATTTGCATCTGGCGGGCCACCAAAGGTACGGTGACTGCAATGCCTGTGGCGCTTCAAGCAAACGAATGAAGGAGCTCAAAAGCATCAAAAGGGACTATAGTGACTATCAAGCCAATATCTGATATACTCATTGATGCCCATACAAGTGACCAACTATGCAAGTCAAGGGGCTAACTGTTGGAAACAGCTAGTAAGTAGTAGTATATGCAGAATGACGGCACATCCTTGTGAGCCAACGGAACATACTTTCGGATGTTGTGACTAATTATTATGAAGAACGTCCATGAACTACCAACAATATCTGCAGTCAAGGCTCAAGCTGCTACAAGCATCAAAGGCTTCATGCGATCAAGTGTGACGCTCCTGGATAGCACATTGATGGGTTGGTTGATGTGGCAAAGCAAGAAGACTTGCCTAAAAAATGCCCAGCAGGGTGTCTCCATGTGGGTGACGTTCAAATTTAGATTTCTCCCGAAGTTGCCGGCCAACTTGTCAGGCACTGGGTGTGCCCCTTAGAGAGCCCTTACAATGAAGATCTTGTCTTCCGTCCATTTCCGACAGCTAGAGATAGGCTAGAGATGACTACCAAAAAAATACTACGTTGCCTTTCTGCTTCATCACCGATGATGCCTGCTTGCATATCCTACAGGTTGAGCAAGGAAATCCTTGCTGTGGCAAATCGGCCCAGAAATGTTCTATCAAATATCACGGGAGTATTTTGCCTGCGGGAATGTACCAGGGTCACCCCCTCACATTGAGCAGGAAGCTCTTTCTATATATTTTGGAGTATTTTGATACTTTTGGTATAGTGAGCTCACGGAGAAGAAAGAATGATGTTCCTTGTTTGTTCTTATATGCGGGCGTGTTTAGCCTCACTAAAAGATTACAAAAAGTCTTGGAATTTGCATTCAGATGCCTTGCAAGTGCTCCTTGCCACGATTCAATAATTACTTGCAAAGCAATCCAATAGGAAGACAAGCAGCATACAGCAACTACAGGACCCAATTGCGGAGTGTGCGAGAAGCTCTTCAGAACGTTCAAACCTCTGGCCGTCTCCTGTCACTAGTATGTAGTGCTGCGAGCAACGCGGCCAGCTTGGCAGGTCTCAGCAGCTGCTTCGCATCCTCACAACGATGTCATGTCATCCCTAGATGCCCATCGCGACTCGCCCAATGTAAGTACCCCCTTCGGCCACCGTCCTTCCTTTCGGACCCTTGTGCAGGGAGTTTATACTCTGCCTAGCTCTGATCTACTTAAATATGCCTTTTTAGCCTGCACCCACATTGAAGACAATAGGCACTATGCGGCGATTCTTCTCGATCGACACTCCACAAGTCCCGGTGATCCACGTCCAATAAGCCTTGAGCAAGAGAAAAAAAGGAACAGGAGCCAAAGTGTCTTAATGTGTTCAGCTTTCTATGTCATATGATGTCCCTTCTGCCCACTCGAAAGTCTGCTTCTTTCGGAGTCCTTGGGATTGGAAGCGGCATAGGCCGCTCCAGCGACCATGAGCTGCGAGAAAAGCCGTCGGCGGTGCTGCTCCTGAAGGCTGGTTAAAGCAAACAAAAAATTAAAGGACTATAGACTATAGTCTATAGTAGAAAACAGGATTAGTAGCGATGGCCTCCAACCTAATAGCGATGGCCTCCACCCTAATAGTCTACAGTAGGAAACTGATCTTTTTGGTGTGGTCTTCCGTCTGGCATCTTTGGAATCCCCATGCTGGGGCCAGAGGAAAGAGACTCTTCCGCTGTCAGATGTATCCTATGCTTTTAGGAATGAGGGCAACGCATCTTCCAACTGGTGACAAGGCTCATCCAGCAAAGAGAAGTATAAGGCTCCAAAGCAACCCGTCCTCGGAGTTGAGCATTCTGTGAAACGATTTTCTAAATGATGTCAAACCATGTCAATTCCAAGGAGACCCATGTCTGTAGACTATTTTGAAAGTAAACGGACACTTGATTGGTCTGGCTGAGGATGCTTTGACAGCAGTCAAAGGTGGTGTAACACTTCTGTCCAGGTTGCTTGATTAAGAGAGCAAATTCACGGGGCAGCTGTACCTTAAAGCAAAGGCAATGGTCTGTGGCTCTCACACTCTGCTGATGCGGAGCTTGAACATGGATGATGTATGAGGTATGATGATGTTCCTATCGTGCAAACATTGGCCGTGTTCGGTGCAATATGCGAACGAAAAAAACATGTCGTTGTCGTTCGGAAGCTGCACGTGCGACCTTCCGACCTTCGCATTTGCCTGCTTGTGATCTGATTGGAAGGTGAACTGAACAGGATGCTGCCGCGGCACACCATGTCGGCACAAGACCCCTTGCAATCGGAAGAGCTCCATATGCAACGCTGGGCTCATGGGATCTGAGCGTCCTGGAAGATTGGAACTTCACCAATGTGCTCGAGTTTGTGCAAGATTGTTCAAGTCTGTTACAAGAGTATACAAGAGTGACACCAGGAAAAGGCACCCAAGAAACAGAAACCACAAGCAAAGGAACAATTAAACGGTGTCGCCCTGCCAAGCCCTGCCTCTGAAAGGGTTCAAGCGTTGTAGCTCGCGCAGCACTGGCTTCATATCCTTCGGATCAAACCAACACTTCGCATGAACCACGTGGAAAATACATGTCTTTCTCGAAGCTACCGCACCCAAATGGGTGTCTAGAACGAAGAACCGTCATGTTGCCTGAAGGTTTCTGAGACTCTGAGATTCTCGGAAATTCAGATTATAGGTTGATGAAAACCAAACTAGTCCGAGATTGAGTCCGATTGCAAAAAGAAACCAGAAATGATAATGCATTGAAATCCTCTGTTTCCCAATATGGTGCCAATGCGGCCTTGTCATATCCCGACATATCTTGTCATATTGCCTGCTGCCACAGTCCCAAGTTGCATGTTACTTCCCTAAGGGCCTAGAGCCTAGAGGCCTAGAGGTGCTCATCTCAGAACACTCAAGCCAAGCATCTTCAGCCAGCGCGTCAACATCCAAGACCTGCAAGCAGACTGCTTAGAGGCTGCTTTCAAGCGGACCGACTGCTTAGATTCCCTGAAGCTGTGACTTCGACCATTGACGTCTTCGGCCCTTCGCCTCGCCAGTGCCGAGCTCTGGGATGCGCTGCAAAGCGTGGGCAAAGCCCTCGAAAGCTCGTGTGATTGAACGAGGTCAGCCACCAAAAGGTCTTTCAACAAACATGCAGGTCTTCACCAAATAGATGTTACATAAGTTACATGATGCTACGAGTCAAATACGCCTTTACGCCCTTTAAAACCTACTCTCTTCTTTCAAATCAATGCGCGTTGTCTCTGTGTCACACGTCCTGTACACTATATTTAATCTTGGAAGTAGCGCACGTGAGCTCAAAAAAAGGATCTGCAGTGCCCAGGACCAAGCCTCACAGAACTGCCTGACGTCAGGCCTGGCCCAAATTCGAAGCGTAGTGCAGGTCTGTGCGTTGAGAAATTCTGGACATATGCCAAGTGAAACATATCACCCTCACATGATTTGACAACTCATCATTTTAGCTGGCATAGACATCTGTTTCTGAATTGCGATTGGCCTCGAACCAGCGAAGGCCTTAGCATGCACGAATGAGTCTCCCAAGTCCGGTGTGGACAGCCTGGGGCTCACTTTGTCTACCAGTCGTGAGTGTCCGTGAGTTCTGCAAGTCAATGGCAGATCATTGCGATCTGCAAAATCATTGCGAAGATTTTCACTGTGATATCTGTGATCAGTACATCAAGGCAAACTGTGTCCTTTCCTAGACCACCCGGCAACAATCCCCATCAGTTCAATGGACGCTACAGCTAATCGAAATCCAAAGAGTCTTCATGGAGGCTTTACTTTAGGAAACACACCCTTTGCCCACGGTACATTGTGGGATGGGGTTGCTAGATATCGATCCCTCATGGGCATTCTTTGCCACCTTTTAGCTGATTAAATGTATATCTGTATATATATAATGTTAGATTCATGCCCAACCCACGCTCTTTCTTCCTCTTTTAAATCTCGTTTGCCCCCGACCACAGTTCAGCGCGCAGGAGAAAAAGGGACTGCGGGGACCAGGTTCGCTTGGTGTGGTGCATGTCTACAGTACGGTAAAAGGACGCTACCAGGGGCTGCTGGCATCGCTACTAGGAGAAGGGACGCTACTAGGCGCTCCTGGCCTTCTACTAGGAGCAAGGACGCTACTACGAGCAATAGCATGCAAGTTTGTCCATCCATCTTCTGCACCGAGCCACTGAGGCTTGCATCAATAGCGTTCCTCTCCTTGGTCTCAGATGGTCTCAGAGGCGAAATGAGATACTGTAAATGAAAATAAATGAGTATGAGTATGACACTTATGACACGACGTTTACTTCTATGATGCCTAATCTGCAATTGATGTCTCTCTCTTCCACCCCAATCCACAAGGAAAATCAAGGAAACAAAAACCACACGGTCAAATAATTCGATCCACAAAGGAACAGCACCGAACTGTGCTGGTAGCTTTCGCATGCTTTCGGTTTTCAATGCTTCCCAGCTTCAAAGGTGCAGGCAGCTTTCCGCAGCAGCCAAAGTCTATGAAAGCGACCTGTTCACATCCGCCTGAGAGACCTGCTTCAGGTTTGACGATCCCCACGTGCCAAGCTCAAAAAGATCTAACTCACAGGACTCACGTGCATCTTGCTAAGAACGCACCGCATTGAAATTCTGACATGCTTGCTGTCAAAGTGAGAGAAGGGCGAAGGGTTTTTGTCTTGTACGACTCTGTCAAGTTCACGAATGCATCCAGCCTGGCACTGCGATCATGTTGCCGCAGTGCAGGTCTGCCTCAAGTATCGATGAGGAACCTTGCTACCACTACATAAGAACTGCAAGTGATCTCTAACATGAGCTCATAGTGTCTAATCTGTAATCTCCCAATATCCAGACGCCCTCTTGACCCAGCTGTGTCGGTATTTATAAGATTATATGAATTGAAAAGAAAGGATAGTGAACACTACAATCAGTTGCAAAAGGACTCCTCCTAGGAATCCAGAGTTTTTTGGTGATAATAGTTAAATTATGGAGGTTTAGCTGAGGGCTGGACCCCCCTTTCACTAATCAGGATCCAACATTACGGACTTCCCCTCTTGCTTTCTCTCCATTCTTTGGTAGCACTCCCTTCTTTGCTTTCCGAGCTTCATGGAAAATGGCTGTGCCATCGATCACTGACAATGCTGCTACCGACAAGGCAGAGGTGAGCGCATTTTGCCAATTCTCCGGAGCCTGAGAAACCCAAATGAAGCAGTCGAAACATGTCTGAAACCCTTCGAGCAAGGACGCTACTAGGAGCAAAGGGCATCGCTACTAGCAACAAGGACGCTACTAGGGGCTCCTGGCCTTACTATTAGTAGCAAGAAGCCAAACATTCGGTGAAAGCGATGCCTGTGAGGTCTGAGTCCTGGTCCCACTGTTGACATTGTCTCTGGGTTGCCCGACATCTTGCTGGTGATTTGCACAAATGTCGGAGAAGGGCACCCCTTCGATCCGCTCCATTGTGAGCACCCGTGACTCAGGAGCAAACGAGTCAGAATTCAGGGCAGTACACGACAGTGTGCGTTTCTGCTTTAGATTTGGTCCAGCTTTCGTAATGAACTGTATTTACTAAGTTGCCACTAGGAGCAAGGGCATCGCGACTAGGAGCGTTCGGACGCTACGTTCGGGGCTCCTGGCCTTACTACTAGGAACAAGGACGCTACGAACGGAGCTTTTTCATGATAGATACTAAGTTGCCATTGCCACCGAGCTGCTGCGGAGGCCCCAGAGAAGGTGCGTGGCACCTTCACTGCCTTCTGCAGCCGCGCCCGACGGACTGTCACCTCAGGAGGTATAAGGTATATAGGTCCAGTAGGTTGGAGGTGGTTGCTGATGTTGAGGTGGTTGGTGGGATAGTCGCAGTCCTACTTATACAATACCCTAACTTCTATACACTCTATACTTGCTGAAGTGCCCTCAATTCTACGAGTCCATAGATTGTAAGTTGATATCCGCATACTTTCGGCCCAAAGGAGCCTAGAGCCTCTCAACTTCCAAAGGCTCATAGGGAAAGGTCAGGGTATGGACCTAAAACACGTTTGTTCTTCCATTTGCAGAAATCCAGCCTTGGAAAGAAGAGGCTATTATAGTCAATGTGCAAATGTCTTTTCCTCTTCCCAATACTTTAGGGCCTTTAGGGCAATTATGTCATCCAAGAGAATAGTCGGGGCTAGGGAACTGGAAAACGCCTTTGAGAAAACCAAACGAAAACTGCCAAACATTGCACACACTAAAAGGCTGGGTTTGCATACCAGAAGTATCATGAAGTATATAAATACTGTAATACTGTAAAGGCCCACTTGAACAACTAGCTAAGCCATTGTATTGTATTGTGACGGGATCGGCTTGCAGGCTACATACTCAAGATCTTCTGGTGCTCTATCAGTCTTGAAGCAGGTGGATCATCCAAGTAATTAGAGTAGGACACATGTACTATCATGTACTGTAAGGCATGTTGCGACTATGAATCGAACCAATGCCTTGATGCCAACTGGTGAAATGTCTGTTCCAATGCCACCAAGGCACAGAGGTGTCCAACCAGTGTCGAAAATCCTGACCCCGAGCTCCAATCACATTCGACATGCGCGTGCTCACAACAGCAAGAGGACACAACATTCGCATTCGTGTCATATTGCTACGATGAGGAAGATCAGTGTCCGGCAACGCAAAGGATGGAATAATCCATTAGCTGGCTTGTACATCCTCTCCACTTGCAAGCATAGGAAGCTTGTAGGAAATAGATCCGTTTCTTCCCTTGCCCGATCGCCTCAATGTTTTGCCTCTCCACCGACAAATCGCACTCTGCCATCACTGCAGTACGTAGCTCCTGCTGTGGTGTAGATACTGCACAGCTGCATTGATCATGTGATGACAAAAAAAAAGCTAGCAAACTGAACCGTCAGCATGTCAAGACTTCAAGAGTGTCCTTCCCTGGAAGTATAAAAAGCACTTGTATTGCAATTGTTTTTGGAGTTCCACAACTCTAAAGGCTGCACCAAGTCGAACAAGTGTTTCGACCAAAAAGGAGCCTGCGTCAAGTCAGGTAGAAAAGGTTGGAATGTTTGGAACTCTGAAAAGAGTTTGAATCTTTGCTGTTCATCTAACTGGCAAAACGCTTGAAATCCCAAGGTCGGTTGCATCCTCCACACAGCCAGCCAAAGAAGCGCTGACCATCTGCAGCACCAAATCCTGCCGAAGACTCTGGAAAACTTGAAACTGGACCGGTCCAGTTCCTGCGTTCCTGGCACTGGAGATTTTGTTCGACAAAATCTGCACGCCTCCCCCCAGGACCAAATCCGCCAGCCGTGCAAATAGCGTGGCAGCCGCAAAGTCCGCGCTCAGGCGCTCGCGCACGTGAGGGCGGACCACCTTGACCACCTGAATGGAACTCAGAAATCCAAAATCGTTCGCTTTTAGACAGGTCTTGGGGGAGGCCAAGCCTGCAGGTCCAAGTCTTGAGATACGAAGCCCAAAGACAAAAACTTTATATTTAGATTTGACAACAGCTCATAGACCTGTAAATGTTTACCTTGACCTGCCTTTACCAAGCAGCAAAAGCCTAAGGTCCAAGCACACAGCTCCCCGGATCGGAGACGCGCTGCATGCACCTCGAACCACAGCTTTGCGGAGCTCGGAAATACATGGCGCATCATGTTCAAGTTCGGCCCAAACTTTCCAGCATTGCCCTGAAATCGGTGGAGGTATAGATCATTATAGATCAATAGTTTCTTAAGTTCGTCCCGCCCTAAACTGCAAAATAATAGCAACGATCCTCCAACACTGCGGGGGAGATCAACAGTCTGCACCTGGGCGATGGAGGCTGCTGCGATGGGTTTGGGGTCAAAGCTCTCAAAGAGGTCGCTCAACTTCAAGCCGAGGTCCTGCCGCCGACAATGAGATAACAGATACTCTATGTGGGAGGGGAGGTTGCTGAGAAGGATTGAGAAGGTCTTCTTCGATTTTTTCCACTGGTTCTGGATATTCGGGGGTGAGCAGCTGTTATATGCAACATCCGATACAGAAGTTTCCCGTGCAATGCCTGGGCCTAGTAATGGAAGGACGGAGACGTGGCCAAAACCACTGAGAACAATGCAACAGAACAACTGTAGGGCCAAGGCTCTATAGCTCTGTGGGACAAAGGACTAAAGCAAGGACTGTAGCAATAGCCCTCTGAGCAAAATGTCCACCACTGGCTACCTACCTCACCTCCAGCAGAATCCGCTCAACGTCATCCATCGGCGCCGGAGGTGTGACAGCCTGCTTGAACGCTTGGGTGTTCAAGTCAAATCAATTCAGAGATGTTTTGCGCCCTGAACGAAGCAAGATTGATATAATCTCAAATAGATCAAAGCAAAAGTGCCGAACTTCCTTGGTAACCACCCATAAGACCCCTTGATGTACCATGCACAGTCTCCGTTGAATGCACCTTGGTGTCAAGCTGGTCTCCCCATCTTTTTGAACATTTTAGAACTCATTCAATAAGGTCCCAATGTCTCATGGATAGCACATCTTTGTCATCGTTTGTCACCCCATCAAATGGCCGCTTCCTGCCTGGGCGAGGCTGCCTGAGATGTCATGCACAAGAAAATCATGTGGTTGGCAGTGGTTGGTACATGTTGGTACCAAATAGATCCAAATAGTGTAGCAAGTTGGTGTTGGCCTGTTCTCTCAGCTCAGAGTTCAAATGAATGAACATCAAGCATCTTAGAACATCGTTTCCGCACATGCGAAGAGCCAGAGGAGAAAGAAAGGACGACAGAATCGAAGCCAGAACAACAAACACATGGACAAACGAAAGATACAATGCGAGCGCAACTCCCTGGCATTCCAGACCTCGACATGCTCGCACAAAGGGCTCAGGGAAGAGTGCCGGTGAGTGTGCTACAACTTGTGCCATCTTGACGAAACCACCTGCGCGACATGGTGCGATGTCCAAGAAAGCAGTCCAGGGAGACCAAAGTTCTCGACTGAGACAACCCAGACCGGGCTTGCAAACATCAATCTAAGCAAGAAAAATCTAGAAAGACATAACCATTTGTCAGCAATACCCCTTCTACATCCTTCTACCAAGGTCTGCAAATACTTTGGCATCAAGGTTGCCAGGTCTCTGCTTTGCCCAACAACTGCCAGCTATCGGGTGCACGCCTCCTAAGAGGTCCAAGGCTTTGTGTGTCGCAAGTGCTGCAGAGCCTTTTGGGTCATGAAGTACATCAGTAAGACCTCAAAAGTCGGTCTCTGCTGAAGGCTCAAGAGTGGCTCTCTCTCTCTCTCTCTTTCTCTCTGTGTTTAATCACCGAACAACGTGAGCACCCAACTCACATGAAGTAGAGCCCGGCTCAGATCCGCTGTGCGTCCCACGAGCACCGGCCTAGGACAGCTGTCATTCTCGTTGAAGCAACACTGACTGTCTGGTTGACGTTTAGGCTTCTTTGTTCACCTAATTAGTGTGCATGTGATTGTTTCATCCATGATATTCCCAGCAAGCTTGGGAATGCATGAATTTGTATAGGAAGTTGACCAAAACACGAGTTGGAGAATGAATGGGCCACTTTGCAGGTCCCTGCGGAAATAGGCCATGCTCACGGTCACACTGTCACAAATGACCGATAATAATATATATATACTATAATAATATATAATATCATATATACAAGTAAATGATTGGTCATTGACGCATATGTCGAACAACACAACAGTATCTATATAGGTTTGAGAAGACTGCCCACAGCTTTTTGATGCATTTGGCAAGAAGTGTTCAAGCTGCTCAGGAGTTAACTGCAAACAATAGGCCATGTCTATTAAGGACAGTCAAGCAAGACAACCTTTGAACCCCTCTTCCAAACCATATGCAAAATGTTGCTAGCTTACAGGTGCCCACGTGCTTTGCAAGTGGCGGCAGGTCTGCCACAACAAACTTGGCCGTATCAGCAGCCAACCTGCAGACAGGATCGATGGTCATCTTCTAAACACAACTTGACTCGGAAGCGGGGTCCATAACAGTCCAAATTCTCTGCAGGTTTATGTTGAGGTTTCGGACGCGTCTCCAGCCGTTAATTGGCCAACGAAAATGAATCTGCAGATGCAGATTGTATCAGGCAAGTGCTAATTCAGTCGAGCCGAACAATTTGTCGAGAATCTCTGATTCTATGCGGCTACAAGCTAGCTAGGCTAGCGCTAGACTACACTGAGCATACTGAGCTGGTCGCGAGATCGAACACGACCCACGGCGATCGTCTCATCTCGACTCAATCGACGTGGGTGTGACGATGGGCGTAGCGCAGCCCTTTGGAGCCAAGAAGCCATGCCGCTTCCTGCAAGGGACTTTGCGGGCGTCTCTTGCGAGACAGACTTGATCTGTTTTAAACGACGCAAGATCCTATAGATCCTATAGCCTATAGCCTATTAATTACCTAGGTCTATCTGTTTCCTACAAGTTGCGTTGAACATTGCCCAGCTTGTGTGGCTGACACATGCAACACACAAGATCTGATGCCTTCCCCAGCAATCGGCCAGGTACACCAGAAGCCCAAGATGCCACCCTCAGAGCCATGAGCCAGGAGTGCTCGCAAAGGAAAGGATGTTCGAAGATGTCGGAAAGGTTTCTTTTTGGAGGAACGATCTTTCTGGCTTCCGGAGCATGTGTGGAAACTGCACAGCTACCGTATCCCCTTGCCGCCCTTGCCACGGATGCCCATCAAGTTGGATTGGATGAGGTGATGAAGTAGATATAACAACCCCCCTTAAATATTGTCTCTGGGTGTGGACTATTCCTTTCGGAGGGTATAAAATGTAGCATAGAAAAGTCCACGTTCAAGCAAAACTGCTTATGACTTGGCATGTGGAAACCATATGTTGACAAGCCAGGAGATTATCAGATACATGAAATGACGGCTTTTCTACCTCTGCTAGACACATTGTATTGAAATGGAAACGCCCCACTAGTGTACCGAGAGTCTTTGGATGATTTGGCAGAGCTCACCCCAACACATAGTGTGCCAAGCGGCCCCCAGGCAGTGCCAATGGCGCTGTGAACCTGCTTCACAGCTCCATTTAGACGCTCCTGGGCAGAAACCTCAAGATCAGACTCTCTCAAGTCTCCCAACTCTCAATGGCCAGACTGCTGTTTTGTTCGTGTTTGCAAACTGTCAATGGATCTTCGATTCGACGTTTTCTCGAGTGTAACAGCAGAAGATGCTCCTTCTCCCTCATGTCAACTCTTTCAGAAAGAACAAAATGCAGAAAAAATGCTTGGAAGCATTCACAGGCCAGCATATGCAACCCCTACAATTGAATTACCGCATGCTGGTGCATCAGTCATACCGCTGAGGACTGAGCTGCCTTCTCGTAGGGCCTTGAAGGAAGCTTAACACAATATTGAAAATGATCCGTGTTACAGTTTTTTGTCAAAACTGAGTTCTTCAGGTCTAAGGCCTTCCCCTTGACCTGAAGATCGAGCAAATCAGAATGAAGCGACCATTCTTCAATCTAGTTTCGACCGGTTTCTTCACTGCTCAACCAGACTTGGTGCCATGCCATGACAACATCTCCAAAAGCTCCAGCGTGGCCGCACTACATCACCAGGCTGCAGCACAGTTGACTAGCTACACTCCGATGATAAGACTTCTCATGTGCTCCTTTCACAAAGCCATTAGATCAGCTGCCTTCCACTTGAACACATATTGCAAGTTGCTTGCGTTGTGAAACTCAGTATGTGGTCGACGCCACTTCTTTTGCATAGTGTTCTTGCATGCTTGGGCAGGGACAACGGCAATCATACTGTGTAAAAACGCATAGTCATTAACGCAAGCTCTTTTCCTGCTGTCAAATGAGGCAAATCACCACTTGCAGAAATTGTACCTAGAGTCACACATCTTCAAGCTATGATGATCTCCCAATGGCAAACATTGTGATGTGGCTGAAACATGAAGAAACTACGATACACTACGTCTCTACATCCGTGAGGGCTTGTTGTTCGCCATTTAGATCTTTGAACAATCGAAGGACCGTGACGGCGAAGGACTGAGCAGGCCGGGCGTTCTCGCAAGCCTAAGTCCCCAGAAGCATCGTTCAAGAGCCATAACAGTCTCAGATCAAAACGATTCCCAACGATCCTTTCAAAGCTCAAACTTCAATTGTCTTCAAATAACTCTAATGTTGTGTCTCACGCTAGGGAAACGGCGTGGCGAGCAGCAGGGCGCGGGTGAGGCGAAATGCCATCGCTTGACTAATGCTGTTCACAGTTGTTCTGTTTTGACATTCACCCGCTTCTATTCGTCTTGTCACGTCCCATAGGGCCAGAGGATACAAAATGTACAAATTGAATGGCGAAAGCATTGCATTGGCGGTAGCACTGCATTGGGAAGTACAAGGCTTTTGCAGTAGGAAGGCTATCTCGCATAGCAGCAGGAGATTGCATCTGGTCCCCAGTTTCGAAGGCGAACTACAGGGTTACAGGGTGCAGGCTATTGCAGGGTGGCTTCATCTGAACTTGATTCTGAGCCTCGCAAAGCCTCGCTGAGAAGCCCTCGAGCACCTCCTATGAGCCCATTCTCAGCCCCAATGGTACACAACCCCCCTAGAGAAATTACTCCTTTTTGATTCAATCATGTAGGCCTCTCCATCACTGCGTTGATGATATACCAATGTCTCA